ATCGTAAACAAAACTTTCGGACTCCAGATGTAGTCACTGAACCACCCACCTGTCTTGCAATTTCAGCATAGGAAAGACCACTTTCTCGTAACACAATAATATTACATCTCTTTCTAGGTGTCCACTTTTATTTGATGTCATTGCTTCTTGACTAAATATTAAAAATTTTTACAAAAAATCCTACTTGTAATTGCAGTTCTACAGAACAAAGTAAAATAATGAATTGTTTTAAAAGTGTAAACATGATGTCAGCTTCTACTGGCAGTTACTAACATTTGATTGGTTCTCAGAACAAGAACAGTGATTGGCCAGGAAAGCCAGACATTAAAGCCAGACCACTTCATAACTGTGTTTTTTATTTATATTAAAGTACATATAACTTTTTTTGTATTGTAAATAATTGAATTTTGTGTTTTGTATTGAATTCAGTAATAAATTCTCTTTAAAATGATATATACAAGTTTGCATTTTGCAAAACGTAATATTTTCTATAAGCATACAAAGTTAAAAAATATAAAAATTTCCAAAAGTATCCACAATTTTGGCCACCACCATATATATATAATACCGTTATATTATGTATTATATGTATATACATCTATAAAAATAAATAAATAAGATACACATGATAAACACGTAAAGGTTGAGTCCCAGGCAGAGCGAAGAATTTAAATATATGGATTCTCAAAGACTGCTTAAGTCTACAGGATAAAACAAAATATATAAATATTCTAAATGTGTACAGAATATAACCAATGCAGTTATTCAAGGAAAAATAAAAAATAATTAAAAATATCTTTACTAATAAAGCCTAGACTGTGCTAGACTTATAAAGTACCTAGCGGAACTTATTTTAAAACTGATTAAAATACAATGAATATTTCACTAACTGGAATTTTTGTACTAGAGACTGAGCAGTTTCTTTTCAATAAAGTAGAGTTTTCTTCCCTGCATTGTAAAAATTGCTCTCAAAAATCCTGTATCTTATTTTAAGAAACTTTATAACTAGAAATACAAGAGAAATGTGATTATATTGGGTGATTTCAAAAGTTTATGACCAATTTTCATAGATAGCAAATTTTTCATAGTTGCTGATGTTTTTTTATAATCATATTATTAATTGATAGTTATCTAAGTACATGAGTCAACATAGCCTTAACATAAGTTTATTTAAATCTGCTTCATTATAGGGTTAGTATTCAAAATGGAAAATAATAAGTTACATTTTTATCATGTTTTGTTATATGAGATTAAAAAGGAGTGAGTGTTGAAACTTCAATAAAAAATATTCAGTCTATTTATGAGAATCATGTTTCTGCTCTTAAGGCAGTTAAAAAGTGATTTAGTTGATTCTGAAGTGGTAACTTCAATCTAAATGATGAACTTTGGGTAGTTTTTCAGTATTGATAATGATCTTTACTTGTGATTTAATAAATAATAATCCACAGACTACTACTGAAGAATTTGCTGAGAGATTAAATGTTGACAATTCATCTGCATTTTGCCATTTAAAGCAACCTGGCTACAAATCTAAATTCTGTATACAAGTTCCACCATTTTGATCAAATAGAACAAAAGGATCCACAGCCATTTCTTACTCCGTTCGATAGCAAAATGAACTTTTCTTGGATAAAGTAATAACTACAGATATATATATATATATATAAAAGGGCTGTGTATAGCAGCATACTTAGAAAAAGAAGCTGGAAGCATGAAAGTGAAAAAGCAGAATCTATGGCAAAGGCTGAATTGCATCGAATGAAAGTGATGTTATGTGTCTGGTGAGATAGCAGAAGAATAATTTTTTATGAGCTTTTTTCCATGTTGCCAAACAATAACTGCAGAGAAGTACTGTGAGCAACTCACCAAACTTAGTGCTGAAATGCAAGCAAAATATCCAAAGCTGCTCAATCAAAAAAGCATCATCTTTCACCATGATAATGTTAGACTAGTGCTCCGCAACCTTTTCTCACCTGCGACACACAAAAAAATCTTTCTGGAATTTCATGGCACACCAAAAGCTTATGTATATATGTATTGATTTATGCACAAAATTTACTATAAATTTTTGTTTTTAATTTGAAAAATATACAATTATAAAACCATAACATATTTATTTATATGCAATCATAATAATTATCAATGTGATACCTGCGCTTAAAAAATGTTATATATTTTTGAGTTCCGAGTTATCAAGGAAGTGCCGAAAAAATTCAAATGCCGACACACTTACAATCACACACACAACCACACAACAGTGAAATATATAAAAACATTTAAAATAGACATTATTAAGAGAAAAAAATTGTCATTGTGTATTAAATACATGATAAAAAAATTGCAAAATGTCAAATACATCTATTTGATTGCGGCACAACTATATCCTACTCATGGCACACCAGTGTGCCGAGGCACACCGGTTGTGGAGCACTGTGTTTGTTAGACCATATGTCGCTCAACAGGCACTGCAAGAACCTAAAGATTAAATGGGAAATAATGCAGCACTTGCCATATTTCCCTGACTGTATCTCTCCAGATTTTCATTTGTTTCCTTTTCTTTGAAATAATTTGAGTTGCAAAAAATTTGATTCTGTGGGAGAAGTCAAATACTACCTAAGATTGTTCTATGATGAGAAAAAACACAGCTTCTATAAAGAAGGAATTCGAAAACTTGTTAATCATTGGGAGATAATTCTAGAAAATAATGAAGAATACAATTATTCATTTAAAAAATACTATTTTTCATGAAAATGTATTGTAATTAATATGGTTTCAAATTGGGGTGAATTGTAGCAATCGTACAGTGTAAGCTGATGGAAACCACAGTCCATGTGAATTCTTTTATTAAAAAAGTCTAAATTTGTCAATTTTAAGATAAATTTCTGTACAAAATTTTTAATTCAGAGATTTGTGTTTTTTTTTTTTTTTTTTTTTTGTAAACATTGATAATTTTCTCCCTTTTCAGGAGAGAAAAATTTGATTTTGTAATGGGAGTGAAGAAACTTTTTTTTTTTTTTTTCACTTTTCATGTTTTGTTTCGGTAAAGCTTGTGTGATTTAAGAGAAAAATTTATTTTCATTAAACAAAATCTCAGACGTATATATTTCAGCAAAACAGATTAAAGACATAATTTTTTATTTGCCTAAGCTCTTTATCTGTTTATATCTCAAGTAATACAAATTCTTATTTACATCTAGACCAGGAAATTGAGCATATTATAATATTAAAACAAAGAAACTGCTTTAAGAATTAAAATCCATGTGTGGTTGAAATGAGGCTAAAAAGTGAAGGGGGGGGAAATGTTCTAGCTTGACACGGTAAAATCACATTTAACATAAGTAGGACCTTTCACTAACAACCTACTTGGCTTTGTCAGCTGGAGCTGGAGTATTAAGTTAGTATATCAGCTTAGAACATTTCATTTTGTTTTTAAAGAAACTGTCATTTGTTTGTAGGCAACAAAATGCATAATGTATTTCTATTCGATTAAAATTGAAGTAAGACGCACTAACACTAAAAGCAGATGTTATTGCTTCTGGTATGCAAATTTCTTGGCAAATTAAAAATTGCTGCCAAATGACATATAAGAAATATGTGTTGCAAGCTTATATACAAACCATCATGGAAAAATATGTCTTTTCTTTAGTGCAAGACTCTTTGCATTGTGTTAATTTGTGATAGAATAATATACTAAGTTCTTCTATTATTTGACCCTAATGTTTTGGTCATTTGTTCTAAATGCATGGTTATATATGTGTTGTATTTTTACACCAACACTAACTGCAACTAGTGTGATACAAAAATTCGAGTTAAATGAAAACTGCTGTAAAAGATATAACTTTGTGTTACCACTTGAACAAAAGGGATTTGCGGGGCATTTAACTTTGCAGAGGAAGTGATCTACAAAATAGACAACATTCAGAAGTTTATCACTCAATTTTTGGTATTTCTAATTTTGGTAAGTTTTGGATTTGAATCTATTAAGATGACTTTTTAAAAGCTAATAATTAAAAAAATTATTTGCTATAGAGATAACTCTCTACTATTAAAGGATGATGAATCTGTATGTATGTTTCTCACATTGCCCCCCCCCCCCCAAAAAAAAAAAAAAAACTAGGAGCCATTCAGATTTTGAACATGTGTGTCTCTAGACCTCCAAAGTCCAAATTTTGAATTTTTTCCCTTTGTTTCATATTTTGTATGAGTTTAATGAATTTTTGAATAATAAATTTTGCAATTTTGAAGTGAGCAGTAGCAACACTGTTCAAAATAAAAAATTCTTATCTTAAGTAAATTAGTAAAATACAAGTTATTTTATCTTTCAATTTTATCAACAGACTCGGCTATTTAAAACGAGTGTGTTGCCACTGGCTGAAATAAAATACTTTTATCTTCTGCACATCAGTGTGTTATTTGCTATAGAGATATTCAGTAAAGCGTAGAATATTTAACTTCTAAACTTAATTTCTCTGTTATTAAGTAGTAAACCATGTGATTTAAGAGCAGTTAAACAGTTCTTAAGAATATTTTTTCTTTTTTTTTTAATCTGAATGACATAAATAAAAAGTGCATGTAAATCATGGGATATCTAATTGGAAATATTAAATATTTTTATGAAATTATGCTAGCCTAGACTCATTAAAATCATTATATATTTTTTCTTTTGTGCGATAACTATTTTAAATGGCTAGCTGCGCAGGTGGTTGGTGTAATAAATTTTAAACTAGATGTACGAATACAAAACTCGATTATTTTAATTTCTTTCATAAACTGTAATTTTTAAATAAAATAATTTATAAATTTCAATCAGGCATATGAATTCAAACAGGTAGATGCAAATTCATTTTATGTTAATCCTTTTGATGCATTTTGTTGGAATGTAATTTATGTGGATTATATGTTAAGAAATTGTTCAAAAAGAGCTTAAGAAATTTTTGTAATTTTCGATGTATTCCTACATGTTTTTATATTATATGTCTCATAAAATGTTTGTCTTTCAGCAACCAACCTCCTTTAGCAGATAAAAGGAGACGGCGCTTTTGGTTTAGAAGAGGCGGCCATTGCACAATTATTTAAAATAAATGTGTGCTAACTTGCAGTGATTTTTGAACAAGAAAATGTATTTGTAATTGCAGATTTAAAATGCTTAATGAAAAACATTTAAAGATGCTTGTAGTCAGTTACTAATTTATTTTCTATATTTTTAATATTATTAAGCAAATCTAATAATCTACTGATGTGCACAAACATTTTGCGCAACCAAAAAATGTGCAAAAATAGCTACTAGTCAAAATGATGAATATTTGTACTCAAAACATTGTTTTCTGAAAATTTATCTTATATTCATCATATGCATTTAAGCTAAAATTTAGATTATAATTGTGTTTGGTACTTTCTGATTGTCTGCATTCCCAGTTTAGCATTCATCAGAACTGTTAAGATTTTGGTATATTTTTGAGTTTATGCAAGGCAAAACTCACATGCACTTACTTGTGTTGCAGATGAGATTGAGTAAGACCAAATTTTGTTGTAATTCAGTAAAAAAAAAAAAAAAAAAAAAAAGTCTTTGAATACAGGTTGAAAATTGAAGACATCCATATTTCTTGTTTCTTATAAAATACTTCTTTTTATTATTATTTGTGAGCAGAAAAATATGTAACAATATATATGAGCTATAAAGATAGCCCAATAAATGTTTTTTGCATGTTCACAAAGCTGGCAATGGATTAGTAGATTTTGTAGATAGTCAGAAGGTACTTTTTGTTTATATATTCTGTGAACTACAAAGGTTGTGCCAATTATGTTCTGTATTTTATTCTTTTGTAGTCCTAACTGTAAAGTGACTTTATGTTTTTGTTTCACTATTTCTTTTACTATTATACTATTTCCAGTACTTGACTATTCAGGTGTATTTTCAGAAGAATTTCTTCATAAATTTAGTCAAAATTTAAATCTGTGATGCTCTACATTGCACATTTATGGACAATTTTAACAGTGTAAAATATAAAAATATATTTAAGTTCTAATCAAAGATGTAAATTTTTATAACATTTTATAGCTACTGTACATAAGAATAGATCATATTAACAAGATGCATTTCTTTGTGTTCTATTTTTATGAGAACCAGAAATGAAATTGTAAATACTAATCAATAATGTGAGCTAAGTGTTGTTACTATCTTGTTGCATTTGTTATTAAATATATGCCATTTTGTTAAGTGCATTGTATCTATGTATTCTCTTTTATACAAATATTTCCAAAGCATTTATGATTCTCTTTAATATGTCGTTAATGTATGTTTGAAAGAATTTTTTAATTCATATAAAAGTGTCATTTTTTGTAGATATAGTGTATGTTCTTTTACCGTGTTTCTTGAATAAATTTTGGTGCATAATTTTTCCCAAGTCTGAATATTGGACATGTATTCATTAGATGGCAGTCTTAAATGTATTACAGTTTTTTAGCTTGAGATTTTTTTTCACATAACAGCAATTGAGATAACTGTGATTATTTAGTTAAAGAATGTAGTCTTTTTATTCTGGATTAAATTTTTTATAAAAAATATTCTATGAGTGATAAAAATTTTTGTTTGCGTGAAATGTGTGTATATATGCATATCTGCAACATGCTCTTAAATTTATCTTTAAATTTCTTTGTAACAGAAGATTAGTTTTTTTCATTCCAAAGGCAGCTTATTATGTATCTGTTATATTTTTGATGTGTTAGGAATACAGAAGATAAATTAACTAACTACCTTTAAAATAAAAGTAATTAAATGGCTTTAGAATTGAATTTAAGGATTGTGTTGTATACATATATATGTCATCCAAGTAGCTAGTAAGTATTCAGCCAACATCTAATATGTGTACTTGCACAAAATATATATTTTATGTCTTATTTTAGAAATACCTGTTGACAGTGGTCTTCAAAGAGAAAACTGGCATTTATTATTTTAAAAATATTTATCTGTAAATGGATATATCTGACACATTTTTAATTCATTCTATGTTTTTAAAGGTGCAAAATAAAGCTCATGCTGACCTTTGAGAAGAAATAAAATAAAGCACATAAAGCAGTAAAAGCACAAAAAAGTTATAATTAAATATTAATTTCATTTTTTATTCTTAAGGGGAATTTCTTTGTGATTATTCGGTACATGAATTAGCTGTTTTTTGCTTCTCTTAGTGCTTTCTTTGGTACTAATAGTGTTTTCATAAAGTTAAGCAATATACTTTGCAACCAGTTAATCATAGAATTGTTTTCAATGATATACTTTATCATAAGCAATTCATTTTTAAAGAAACATAAGTTTTGAAATCTTGTAATGTAGGCAGTAAATCTCTTGTTTGTGTTTCATGTGGTCAAAAATTAGTGAGGTCAAAAACTGCATCAACAGCTTAATTAATTATGACTTTGCGAAACTGCCACTGAGATACTTAACTGGAATATAACAGACAGTCATTTCAAACTTTTATGTACCATAACATAAAAAATTCATAATTTATGTACTTTTGAAAAATTAACCTGTTAATTTTGAAGTGAAATTTTTTCTTTTTTTCTTTTATACTTAATAAATTTAAATAATTATGTTAAAATATTAAAAATTCTTTCTAAAACATCTGATTATTACTTTAGGGGGGCAGATCATTTGCAAGACAAAACAAGATTCTATGTTTGCTAATAGACATCCGCTTTTATGTTCATTTTTATAATTTAATAATTTAGAATTTTCTGTGAACAAATTTCCTCTAAAAATGGGGGGTTATTTTCCAGATCTCTAACATTATTGTGAAGGATGTTAACTAAATAAGTTTATGCAAAATCTGTAAGATTTGCCTGTGAATTTTACAACTAAAAAAATCACTTTGCGGGTTTAAAGAATTCTGAATGAAGATGTATTTGATGCTTATTTGCAAAAACCATTTAATTTCAAAGTATCCATGTTCTTATATGCAATACATTTTATTTTTGTTTGCTAAATGTTTTATGTTTTGCCATTGGTCTTTATAAAATAATTGAAAAAAGAAATGTGTTAATACTGTCATAAATTGAAATATTGAAATTTTATATATAATGAATGCAATATAATTTCTGACAAAAGTGAAAATGATTCTGTTTTTTTTTTTTTTTTTTTTTTTTTTTTTTTTTTGGTGCAATAGCTGTTACATGTACATTGTTCTGAATATAATATTCCATTGAAATAGAGAGATTTCGTATAGTTGTTAAATTGATTTAAGCAGTTAAAATATGCTACTACTATGAATGAATGGTACTTTTTTAAATGTCTATATTTGGTACTAGTCACTTTTTATTATTAATTTATTTTTATTTATATATTTATTTATTTTAGCCTAAGGTCATATAAATAATCTAAAGTTAACCTTAAAATTTAAAGAATCTTTTACACATAAATAAATAAATGCACCTTATAATTGTTGTATTGATCCAAAAGCACAAAATTTCTACTATCAATAATTAAGTATGGTAAATCTATATGCTTATTTTTGTATTTAATTTTGTAGCTGAAGAATTATTCTGTTTTTCTTGGATATTTAACAGAAACTTAGAATTTTTTGTAAACTTTTTTTTATTTGAAAATGAGATTCTGTTTATTTTTAACATGCTCTCAGGGGATATTTTTGTAACATATGCAGTTGATGTGTAATATATATTTTAAATGTTTATCTTATAACTAAGTTTTCATTGTAACCACGTTGACTAATTTCTGTAAGAGTTTTATATATTAAAAACAGTATTTGAAGATGGGTGGAAGTAAAGTATAAAAACAGTTGCAAACTGAATTTATTCTGCAAATAGCAGAGAACTGGTATGGAATGAATTGGTAAGCAAGTAATAAAAAATATATGTATAAGTTAATTAATTTAAATATAATACTATTTTACAGAATTTTGATGAAGTAATAAATTGCTTTGATTGCTTTCAGAAATTATTGTTAGAGTTCTTTTTCCAAGGGGGGAAAACAAATTAAGAGAAGTACAGTAACAATCTAATTAATCTAATCCTTATTCCACATTAATGTTTTATGCTAAATGTATTTACCCAGTTTCAATCTGTTGTAGAAGCATAATAGATTACTACAACTGAGCTTAATTGGCAAATGTTTCTTTTAGAGCAGTATATATTTCATAAGGTAAATTATTAATTGAACCAATGCACTTAATTCTGGTGATACCATTAATCGTGATTTGAATTCAAATCAAATGAACTGTTTTTCACATTTGTGAAATGTATACTTTATGGTTTGATTATTATTATTATTTTGATTACTTTTTTAAGTACATGTTAACACTTATTTTTCATTCCATTTTCTTATTCAGTAAACTAGTTTTACTTGATAAGCAACTGAGCCAGCTGTCAAAATTTAATATTTATTTTATCAGTTGTACTTCTGTGTGATTTAATTAATTTAAGAATGTTAAAAATATTTAAGTTTATTAAGGATAGTGTTTGATAAATTACTTTGAAGAGATGACTTTTGTTAATTATTAACCATTTAAGAAAATTGACAAAACAGATAAATTAAATTTGAGAATTTGTGTGTAGAAATTGGCAATATTTGTTAATTTAAATGTTATTGCTATGTTTATTTTTTAGTGATGCTTAATACATTTTTATTTTATCGGTTTGTGCAATGAAATTTTTATCAAGCACAATTGTGGGAAAAGTTTTAACTACAAATTAGCAGTGTTAGGAGTATAAATTTATTATACTTAATACGAAGAATAAGATATTTTAAATTTACTGACAAAGAAAAATATTCAGATTAATTTTTTGTGTGTGTTAAAGTAAATAAAAACTGTAAATAAAATTATAACCTGAAGTGTTTTCATACTAATTTATTTGTTGATGAAGTCAGTTCTTAGTCATTATTTTAATAAATATATTTATTTCCTAAAAGTTTTCCAAAATAAAATATTAAGTTGTGCTTATTTATTAACAAAACTGATAAGAAATAATTTTAGAAATATATAATTTACTACTGAACAGTAGACAGATCATATTTTTAATTACTAGACTTGATATAATAATGAGATTTGTAGGTAAAATATGCAGTGCTTATGAATTTGAGGGTGGAAGTATATACATTTTCTGCCTTACATTGTTTAGTTTTATTTTATTTGAATAGTGATTTTCACAATGCATCAGTTGCAGTTCTTCTATAATAATTTCAGTGTAATCAATGGTAGAAATAAACCCTATTTATTTGAAAATAAAGCTACTGCTTTTTTTCTTTGCTATATTTTTATTCCAAAATTTGATAAGATCTTATAATTGGGTGTTTTGATAAATTGATTTGAATATAGAATTAGGGGAATATATATAAGAATTACACTCTCTAAATGCTAAATAAACACATAAGACTTACTTTGTTTAACAAATATTCTCTATTTGTATAAAGCTAATATAAATTTAAAATTTAATTGCAAAAATAAAAAATAAAATTAATTATTGCTGCAAACTAATTTACAATATCATTTAAATTCTAAGAGCATATGTGAATTAAGTGCATGTATCTAAAACCATGAAAAAATATATAATATTCCAAAAAAGGAATCTCAAAAAAATTT